CTACTTCTCCCTTCCCCCAAGGAGCAAACTGTCTCACCCCTTTTTCAGCATGCAGCAGCTCAGACTTTCCAGCAGCACAGCTGTACCTAGGGCTACAAAAGCATGCCTATGTGCATGTCCCTTTCAGTGGTACAAGAAAGAGATGGAGGAGCAGCTCCATGGCAGCCCCATAAGATACCTTCTTCTCCCCGCTTTGAGGGGAAAAGACAGGTCTCAACTGCCCCATATCACTGGCAAAATAAACAGTGTTCCAAAGTTAGTTCATAGCATTAAAAAAGTCAGATATTGACATTGTTCTTATTATTAAGGCAAATGGAAATATTATTACAGACTAGACCAGCAGACGTAATGTTCAACCCAATATTTTTAGAAGACAGGAGTGCTCAGAACAAAACATAAACACTTCTCTGAAAATTTCTACAAGTTTTTGTTTCTCCTGTAAAAATAGAAGTCACCTTGGATTGTAATGTGCAGTCAGAAAATTAGATATTTGTTTTATTTGTATATATAATTACAATATGCAAAATACTTTACTTTGAGTACAACTAGTCAAAAACCTTGTTTCAGAGTTTTCAACTCTGTCTTTGCTCTATAATTTCTGATTAGGGGTAGTAGTATACTACTGTTGTATAGTGTAAAACAAGAAAAAGAATAACAATGCACACAAAGGGGTTGCTTTGAGATTTGAAATGCTAGAGAATGTCTAGACCCAAATCAACTGGAACTATGGCTGCATCCATTCTAATTGTTACATATCTACATGACTTATCCAACAGACTAACTAGTAAAAAAAAGTCCTATTTTTATTCAGCTAACAGTTCTCCTTCCCATCAATGAAGCAGTGGTTAAAAGCTGAAACAATGCTGAACAATAAGCTTTTATAACAAAAGACTAGTCAGACTTCCACAGCACATTTTTCAAATATCAACTATGATTATAGTTTCAGAAATAAGTTACCCTACTGGGTCTGGAGGAGGATAATTTCAGAGTACTTCACAAGCCTATTCAAGCTAGCAACTGATACATTTGTCTAATGCCTAGGAAATGTTCTGCCCGGGAAACTTCAAGGTGAATTCTGAAGGCAATTTAAATAGCACAAGAGTTTTAATGTGGTGGTGAAAGAAAACGGTGTTGTACTTGTTTAACAGTGCCCTATTCATCCATCCATTCAACCACCCACATATAACGAATTGATTTATGGAACCTGGCCAGAAGAGCAGTTGCAGTCTTTCTGCTCAGAGTGCTATTAATTTGACTCGACATTTATAAACAGAAGAGATATAATTGATTAACATTTCTCCTTTATATTTCTATGTAGAATGGCCTGTCTTGGCTACATTATCATAAACTTCTGTGTAGGTCAATAGCGTTCTCATGCGTGTGAGCACTTGTGAGCTCTCATTGTTTCTGTGAAGCCAGGTTCAAATTATGTTCTTTTGTCAGAATGGATAAAGTAGGTCTTTTTTTATTATTAGTGAAAGATGAAAGGCATTTGGAAAACTGTGGGCACTTCTAAACATGTGGGAGATGTTGACAACAAAGGAGAAAGGAGATAAAGCAAAAACCCAGCAGGTTTATAATTTTAACCATATGAAGAGTCTCATGAAGTCAAAACTATTTGTTCACTGGATATTTTCAGAAGCAGTGGTGACCACGGTGCATTGGTTATGCCATAGCAGTTTAGTGTTAGGTTCTGGGAAGATGTCAGAATGCAAACAGAAAAGTGTAAGGATATGTGAGCATAATGACTTCAGCATGGGGAGTTAATCGATATTGTGTTTCCAGTCTGTCTATACTCACTGAAGTCCTGGAGTTATTCTGCAATAACAACTGTTGTTGACTGCTGCAGGCATTCTAGAAGGGAAACTTTTACTTTTCTTCTAGTAAAACTTTACAGCAGCTGGAAATTATTATCATTTAACTGCTTATTATTATGCATTGTATCCAAAGAGTTTGGAAATGCAAGCTGTATGCATTCTTATTACAAATAATCACGGTGAGAGTTAGGAGCAGTAATACAATGCTGGCTTTAGTTGCTGTACAAACAGCACAAACAAGTGTTACCCTGCAAAATGTTTAATAAGCTAGAATGAAAAATTTAGGGCTTGAGTTAAGTTACTGACCTAAGGCCACAGAGAAAATTAGCATGGATTAGGAATTAGGATTCCCCAAATTCTAATCCACATCCCTGTACTCAGTCTTTCCTATGGTTAGACCACAAGTCTAAATCTGTCTGACCCCAGACTGGAGTGAGCACTGATGTCCCATCCTTTCTGTCCAATGATTATGACTGTAATATTCCTCTTGTCTATTTATAAAATAATAGTCATCCTGGCAAATATCATAACAAATATCTTCCAGGACCACCTGTCAGAGGTGCATAGGAACTGCTGTACCAGATCAAATGTAAGATCTAGCCAGTTCAGAAAGCTGTCTCAGACAGTGGCCAGAACCAGATGCATGAGACCAGTGACCCCTACCCATGGCTCTCAGACAGCACTTTGCTCCAGAGACCATTTCACGTTTCTCACCGCCACAGGAAATTTTGCATTCTACAGTAACGTATTTCTTCAGGTTGACAGACAGAGTGAAGTGCAAAGTTGCCTGAAACATGTTACTTGCTCAGTACTGGGCCAGTGAAGTTTGGGGACCACTGTTCAAGAAGGCGTATGAGCCCTGAAGTAGGTAGATAGTAATATCTGCTTAAACTAAGCAAATGGGAAGGAGAGGGCATGAACGTAATCGGATGTTTCTTCTTCAGTTTGTCTTGCTAGTTCAGTTTGTCTGAACCTATAGGACAAGGCTGTCCAATGTGTGAGTGGCTTGGAGAGTCTCATGTCCCCCAGTCACATACCACATGGTGCCAACTCCCCTACAACATGGCAGGTACCTCCTTGTTGTGCACCTCCCACACTGCCACCTTGTAGGCATGTCTGCTGTGTTGTACTGTGCTGTGCTGCATGGGGTAGAAGCAAGCACTTGAACCTGGAGGAGGGAGAGGGAAACCAGAGACCCTACAGCAGTAGCAAGACAACAATGAGAGGATTGGCTCCAAGACCAGGAGCCCAAGGGCCATAAATTAACTCCTTGTGGGCTGTATGCAACCCAAGAGCCACTAGTTGGACACCCCTGGTACAGGACGTTGATCCTACAGAAATGCTAATTACCAGTTTTGTGCATTTCCTCTTGAATATTAGGTATATCCCTTCTAATGCTCTCTGACCAAAATAGTCTCAGTTCGTGCAGCCCAGACAGACCAGGTGTTCAAAGAGGTTACCACTGATGGTGAATGCTGTCAGATAAAGTTGGACACTGGTGCACAAGTTAGTATAATACCTGCCAAAGCACATACCAGCCTCCTCATATCTCCTAGAAAGTGTGGGCGTAAGCTACTAGATGCAAAAGTATAAACAGGAAACAAACGTATTTAAACTATTATTAACAGAAACATTTCCAGGACTTGAAAGCATTTCTAGTTCTTGAATCCACCACATTGGTCATAATGATAATAAAGTAGGGTGATAGACAGACAGGCTCAGTGCTCCACTACCTCTGATGCCTGCTAAAACAGATAACCTAATGAAAAAAATATGAAGATGTAGTTCAGGGATTAGGGGAATGTTTTGAGGAATACTCCACCAAAACAAAATCCCAGTGGCAGTGCAGGACCAGCTAGCCAAAGAGATTTTGACATTGAAACATTTAGTGTTCTGCAGATGCCAGATATGAAGCCAGATCCTATTCTAGCACTTAGGCTTCTAAGTATGATCCTATGACACCCTGCTCATGTCCCTGAAAAACTGTTAAAATAGAAGGTGAGCAGATTATCTTCCTTACCACTTTATGTGATTTAGTCTTAAGCCTAAAGTGGAGAAAAATAAATGCACACGTGGTTTTCCACAGACTCGAGCAGTGTTGAAGAGGGTGGCACTTAGGTATCTAAATTAACAGGTAGAATAGGACCTGGCCCCATGGCATCCATCATACTGCATATTGGCCACCAAGTTAAGCATGAGATTAGTTTCTAAAATTCATCCAACATAGTGTCTGTGTATAGAGCTTCAAGGAATGCCTATACTACATCCTTATGAGGACAGAGCACATCACCAAGAAACAAGCAGCACCCACAAGCAGCTACTATGAACATGCCTGAGCTTGCAACTTTGCAGAGATGGCTTATCACAGCTCCAAGTACATACCCTGGCTCCAGCATCTCCAGCATGCTTGGGACCACACCCAACTATAATATAACATACGGAAATTTGTGAGCCAAGCACAAATTCTGCCTATAGATGTGCTCATTTGCATTCTAAGGAGAATGCTCCAGCATTGCCTCACCATCATGTGTATTAACCAGCCCCCTCTTACCCCCCAACACACACATTTCAAAATGGTTGCAGGGGCACTTTCTCTAATACTCATTCAACAAGGTTTAATAAAGTGTCCTGCAGCCATTTTGAAATAAACAGGGGCTTAATACACATGACGGTGAGCTGTTTTAATTAGAGCAGCTGTCCAGAAACTGCTCTAATTAAAACAGCCGCCTTTCACCCCCAAGCACGTGTGTAGGCAGCCAAAGAACAGGGCTGATTTTTCAATGCCATACTGAGGACATGGTGTAAACCTCCCCTTAGAAGTCTTATTATGAAGCCTTGGTGATGCGTAGGGGGTGCATACAGGTGCATGCGCACCCCCTGAGCGTGGTGGTGCACCCCCTGTGAAAAGGCGCCACTGACACTGTCGGCGGTGCTGTGGGCAGTCACCACTTGCCAGTCCCCCCTCACTGCC